GGTGGAAAAGTCACTAGAAGCGCCGAGAAGGGCGCCCCCGTATACCACCTTTACTTGTTTGTCGGCCATTGAATAGATATGAACGAAAAAGGGATTGCAGGACTTCGAAGTTTAATGTGAAAGTAATGTTGAGAAAGTGTGATAAAGACAGGCTCCGATGTCTATATATACTAACACATGAGAGATAAATCACATTAGTAATACAATCGCAAGTGCCCTAAACTCGGAGACTTTCTATATTGCTCGGTAAGCAAGAATTGTCAATGAACCGAAGCCGAAGGCTGAAGTGATTCAGATCTCTTTGTAGCACGTATACAGGCCCTCGTTCCACCCTGAATGTCCGTCCGCAAATCAGAACCGGATATTGAAGGGTGTGGATCCCTTTAACGCGGCCAGACGGACGGGACACGGAAAGTCGCAGGGAAAACGGGATAAGCGGACTTTGACGGAGAGCAGCCACATATTGTCCGAACACCCCAACTCCTACCCAAAATTAATACATCCATATGTGAGAGCCCGAAACTTCGGCCGGATATTCTGTTTTTCAAGGCGCATCCGCTAAAGCGGCCCCGTGCATGAGACCGACTCCGTTTTGACGAAGGTACTGACTACGAAAGGAGGAAGTGATCAACCGTAAGTGAGAATGATGATAGATGATGGAAGATGGGGATCTAGCTACTGTCATAAAGCTCTCTATATAGCTTCGCGCTATAAATCCACCAGATTCCATCCCTCAGAGGCTAGAAGAAACATCTCTGCAGACATACAAAGGAAGTGCCAACTCACCAAGCTGCCTGTCAGAGAAGTCAAAGAAAAGGGAAGGAATACCACAGAGAAGGTCTACAAACTGCATAGGGCAACAGTGAGCACGTCAGAATGCATCACGTTCTGAGCTCACGGGACAGACGGATTCTGACGGACATGACTCGGACTCTGTCCGACAACGCAATTCTTGTCTTCAACCACTTCTAAAATTACTCAAACTAGGTGGGTCGGAGATCACCGAAAACGAGGGCATTGTCATAGGCATTTCATTATAAATAAAGACACCATGCTATCCCAGGAAATCGTGCTTCAGATCAATCCTCATCCTTGCAAGTCATAAGTCATGGTTACCAACACCCACAAAGTATTTAGAAGGGATGGAGCGACCATTCGTTCCCACATCGAACCACGTCCGATTCATGGCCCATCAGAAGTCCTGATCAAAGTCCGCGCGGTCTCTCTTAATTGGAAGGACGTGGCAGTACTCGACGGTCGATTTCCCTTTCCAGCATTGGAAAATGGCATCTCTGGAACTGAGTTTGCCGGGGAGGTCGTATCCGTTGGCAACAAGGTGAAATCCTTCACGGTAAGTTCAGTCTAGGGTCGGTTTGTCAAGTCCGTGGCTTCTCTGACTCGTCTTGATTCTTTAGGAGGGTGACCGAGTAACATCTTTGATTAACTTGGATGCTATTACCGGAAGAGAAAAAACCGTGCAAGGTTTGTTTGTATCTAAGCCCGATATATATGGTGTAAGGTCCCTAACATGCGCAGGTCTGGGTCAGAATATCGATGGAACATTAGCGGAGTACCTCGTTATGCCGGCGGAAAGCCTTGTGAAGATTCCAGATCATCTGACGTGGCCTGAGGTAAACACTATACCACAAAGGAAGGCTTCGGTTTCTCAGAGCGGTGCTGACAAGAGAAAATAGGCGAGTATGATCGCGTGCGCAGGGTTGACTGCATGGTCAGCTCTCAATATGAAGAGCTCGAACCTGTGTGGGAAAACCGTGCTTATTGAGGGTATAAATCCGAAAAACTACGTCAATCAAAGGCACAATGGCTGACTTTACTTATGCAGGCACTGGTGGTGTTAGCCTCATCGCCCTCATTCTCGCCGTTCGGGCTGGTGCTTATGTGATTATCACGTCTTCGTCTGACGACAAGCTTGAGAAAGCACGAATCCTGGGGGCTTCTCATACCATTAATTATGCCAAGAATAGTGACTGGGAGAATAAAGTGCTCGAACATACCGGAGGGCTAGGTGTGGACATCGTTGTTGAGCAGGGAGGAGCGGCTACCCTATTGAAGAGTGTCTCGACGGTTAAGAAGGGAGGCCAGGTGTCCCAAGTTGGGTTGCTTACTGCAAAGAGTGAAGGTGATTTCGTTCTGCTAGTCCAGCATTTGATCATCAAAGCTTGCAGGATCGTGTGAGTAGCAATCCCTGTGTTCATTATATCCAATACTAACAGAGTCAGGGGTATCCAAGTTGGGACAAAGGTTGACTTGGAGGATTTTGTCGAGCTTTTGAGAGTCACTCGCCTTGGACTGTTGCCGGTCATCGATCGAGTTTTCGAGTTTGAACAAGCCCCGGAGGCTTGTGCACACCTACAAAGTGGTCAAGCTTTTGGCAAAGTGGTTGTTCAATTCTAAGTGCATACCGTTCTATACTCTATCAGATATATGAAACTGCACAAAAACCATCGCGACGATTGTAAGGTTCTCTCTAGATAGATATTCTTGTAGGTGTTATTGGGACTTCTATGAGAAAAAAAAACACTAGATTTCTGTCGCCTGGGTTGGAATAGAGTCCATGATTCGTCGTGCCGCGAGAAGCTCCAAATATATTCCTAAGACCCGACCCGTTAGCTGAATATCAAAAGCCAATACTATCGACAAGAACATACCAGCGGATTTATATTTCGTGTTGAGTTTTTCCAATGCTGTTTCCATGGCACTCAAGTCCCTCAAACAACTTCTATTAATGAATCTTACCCCTGCCAAATAAAACCAATGCAACACAAATGGCGGGATATCACCATGGGTTAGATCCATGTTATCCGTCTCCATATATTTTTCAGCTACGCCTAGTGCGACGGAGGCAGCATCATCAGAAACAGCGTTTGCACGTTCACGAAGATTCGGTTCCTCATGAGAAAGATATGGTGCGTAAAGCGTTATGAGGGCGCTTTTGACAACGGTTAGCCATAAGATATAAAATCAATGAAAAAAAGGAAACAGAAGGCTGTCAAAAATGAATAAGTGGACATGAGCGACACCTACCAAAATGAGATCGCAGTTTGGTAGCATATAATGGAATAAGTCGTGCCTGCATTAGACTCTGAATACGAGATTAACGCGTATAGAGTCTTCTCAAGCTGGCTAACCTCTTCCTTCCGAAGTTCAATGTCAATCGACATATAAAGGACATGGCGAAGGACGCGGCCAAGGAGATAGCCAGCTTGCACGACGTTTGCGTAGCGTCCGAGTGACTCGGGAGGAGCCGACAACGTGGAGAACACATTATTGTGTCCTCCGTAGTCCCATTCCTTCTCCTGGCAAGGAAGCTGTTCTATTAAAGCGGGCTCGGAAACGAGTAACTCCTGTCGGGGGTTTCCTAAGTTCGCAATTCTGGGCGAACACAAATTAGTCAAACTGGGCATATGTGACCCGTGCCAGATTAAACGAACCGCTCAAGCATGAATATAGCCCACCAGGTTCTTCTCTTCTCTTCGGCTTCGACCCATGGTGTATCACTCATAGGACCATCTACCGAGCTAGTCCAACCGATACCTAGGGCAAGAGAATATTTCAGGCAGACACCTATTGATACCTGCACGGCAGGATACATAGCGTGACCAATTTCATAAACTGCGAGGAGAATACAGCCCTGTAGTGTCTCCATAGAAAGAATACCGGCAACTTGTATCTCAGTAAAAAGCCGCCTTATAGTAGAGTACAATGGAGTCCACGGGGTTTCGCTTTGAAGAGGGCTGAAAAGATCCATGCATAGACACAGGAAAACAGCATCGGTCCTCAAGGGCGACAGCGGATTCAACAATTGATCGTAAACCTTCCGTTTTGATATGATTGGCAGCCATGGATGAACATACTGGTAATAGCGAGTTGCTATTCGTTGCAGGCCAGTATTATCGCCCATAAATGGTCTCACATAACTCGGGATTAAATTGGGAACAGGGAGAATTGATAGCCGTGCTTTACTTCGTTGGAAGACTTCATGGTCCAAGAAACGACAGGCCACACTAGTCCGATGTCGAGGGTTCTGCCCGGGCTGCAGCGAGGATGGCTCCTCAACAGTAATTGAGGTTGAAGAAGTGGTATTCTGATCAATTGCATCATGTGTGTTGGTTTTGTACGAGCAGACCCTCCGGTGCCTGGGAATATTAGCCCGGATTTGATTGGTAGTGTTCTGATGCTTACCGTTTGCAGGCGGAACACTCGGGCGTTTCCCTGTTGCATTTGATCTTGCGTTTGTGACAGAAGTGGCATGCCCGCTGGGCACGGATGGGGTCGTTGGTAGCCTGGTCTGACATAGTTTCGAGAGTATCAGGCACAACTTTTAATGTTTCTCGTCATAAAACGGGGGAAGGACGGAAATGCGGAGAAACGGAGAATTTGCCACCCCTCGCGGAGAATTTCCGAGATATTCCGCCGGGCCCGCTACAACGAAACTACGGAGTAGGGATTCCTCATCGATCATAATACACATTCGAAATTTGTTCTAATTTGAGTCTTGCCTTATGCTTGCATCGGACTAGGGGGAGTATATGGCGTATCCCCTGTCCGGGAGACTATAAAGTCTATTACGGAGCTCATCCATGCTTGTGGGTGACTGAGCATAAGGCGTGTTGACGGGATTGATTGAAATATGGATTCGGCATGTCAAGCTGCGACTACTACTACCAATGGAAGCCGTTGAGCGATGCTGATCTGAGTATTGATGCAGTTATCGTATTTCACCATAAGAAGACCAAGTCACTTGTTTATACGACCTTCTTAAAGTGTAGGAACGGAAGTAAAAGGTCATATTTTTTACATAAACTATGGATCCGCTAGCTGCCAAAGCCTTGTAGGCGACCTCGCTGAGAGAATTAGACTCTCTTGACCTAACGATGATGTCGGAGTATGGCTAGGCGGCTCTTTCTGCCAAATTTCTTGTATTGGCGTCGACGATCTTTCTGAGTATCGTCTATGCGGTCTCACGGGTAAGGGGAGAATTACCCTAGTCCCGGCGCGATGGGTTGCGGGGGCAGACTGCCATCGTCCCATGATATGCTGACTCTGCCGGCGTGCATAGTCTGCGGCGCGCATCGCGAACATCTGGTGATCTTTCGGTCTGATATCTGCTGACAACCTTTTTCTTCAAGGCAAAGTTGCGTGATATCTTCATATATGAACGAATAACGGCCCGGCAAGGCACCCATCTCGAAGGCATTCATTTTGAGAGTTGTTTGCGGTATCGAATTGCCTTTGTAGACAATCAAAACGAAGAAGAACATAAGGAGAGAAAGAGAAGAGAAGAGCAGAGAAGAGGGGCTGTTTACACAGTCCCTAGGTTTGGCCAGTTTTGTGCACGTCCCATACTCCACCGGGTCCTCATCCACTGAAGCATATGCACCTTGGAATGGACCCCAGTCTCGTCCTATAATATGTGGGCTGCGGTATCAGCTCGTCCGGGGAATATCGATTGCTTCGTCGGGCTCGATGTCCTCGGGGCTGAAGATCGCTGACCGGGTCGATTTCTTTTCTTGCTCGACCTTTTCTTTCTCGGAGTGGCCCGGGTTCGACACTAGAGAGCGGTAGTGTTACAGAAGGTAAGTGGAAGAGAAGATGATCATATTGTGTAGTTACATACATGGTCACAGATATTTCAGATCAGTGAAGGGAGTATCACCCGAAGGAACAAGCAACATGATGAGCGGGCCACGCACCGTTCGAGAATATTGCCAGATAAATTGTGCGGGCGGGTTTGTAAGGTAGTTTTTGGCTCCTGCTGCAGGTTGATTTCGTGGGACATGACACAGTCTCTTGACTGACTGCCCACATCACCTGGCTCCGGCATTGTTTCTGATAACAAGAAAGAAATCGAAGGTAAGAAAATCATTTTCGTTGCGTATAGATATTTGTTGAATCGACTGACACGCTCACCGTCCGCGAGGATGCGACTGCGATAGCGAAAGGCACGGCACCAGATATCTTGCAAGATATAATGGTTGGTATCAATAGCCACAGCAGTAATATATGAAACATGAGACTAGATAGCCATGATACCCTTTTCGTTTGACTGCGAGCCATGCTCGTCTTGAGGACGCACTTGGTGATAGGATTGAGCTCCCAACCCCAGAGATAGGCGTGGATGTTGCGTATATATGGCTAATCTGTTGCATGATTCTGCGTATACCAAGATTAGTTCGTACTTTTGAATGAGAAGATCGATGGTAACTTACCGATGCCATTTGAACGACGAGGATAGGGAGAATATCCCTGGTTGTATTATCATTCCATTACGTGTCGATGAGACGACTGTAGTAAGGGATTCTCTAGAGAGGGATGGAAGGATTCGCTCTGCGTGAAGTATATTTGTAGTCTCATAAGAGCCGTCGGCCACTCATGATTTTCCATATATAACATGTTATAAGTGTGTGGTCACTCATTAAGAATTGTGCCCTTGATATATATGAAGGCAAGGTTGTAGAGCGAGGGTAAAGCGAAGGTAAAGTGAAGAAGGCAATATAAAGGTGGTGTAAAGGGAATGTGAGGACAAAGGGCAATATGAAAGAAATGGATTGTGAAATCAAGATTCGTCGTTAGCGCTAGGCCGCGCGGTTGCTATTCTTCTGGGTTATATATATGTTTTACACAACTGCAGTCTGTCTCTCCACCTTACTTCTCTTCCTTCCTCCCCACCTCACCACCAGCGTCGAGGCTCCTCCTGTGCGAAGCTCAGGAGGAGCCTCGCATTTAAGCTCCTGCCCAGCGTGTCATTCAAGCTTCTGATTTTCGCCGCGATGCATTCAGTGGTGGTTAGAATTTCTGAGATTGCAGCACCCTGGCTATGCCAATCTCATGATTGACTGTGAGCGGATATCTCAGCTGTCCATAGACCAGGATATGTCGGATCTAATCCCTCCACATGATCAACCGACTGATCCTGAGGAGCCGATAGTAGGTGAGCCAGAAGATCTCCCGACCCATACGGACCTGGAAGGCGAGTACGTGGCTGTACCGAATATTGAACCCCACCTCGACGAGGAGACGGTGCTTCGAAATATGATACTAGGCGCCATTCCCCCGCCTGAGCATTCTCCAGTTCCATCAACGCCACGCCGGCACCTTATCCTACCTTCTATCCCCACTCCCATTTCTGCCGACATGAACCCTCGGTTTCGAATGAAAGACTGTGTGCAAGTTATATGTATATCTGGCCCGATTTCGAAGAACAGGCACTAGAAGCTTGTAACTCTTCGACTTCCACCAGTCACGTCAGCGTTACAGATTCACCCGAGGATGATTTATACTTTGTCGGTAGTACTGGCTGCGAACTGTGGCTAGCTGGCTCTATGTGCAAGTCGATGATACACTTCAAGAATGCATCCAGAACCTGGCATACCTCCCAGAGTTTGCTGACACCATGTTCGACGAGATAATGTTGATGGTGCAAGGAAGCGACAAAGCTGAGAACGCACTCAACGAGACCCTGAAGTTCGACGAGATAATGTTGATGGTGCAAGGAAGCGACAAAGCTGAGAACGCACTCAACGAGACCCTGAAGTTCGACAAAATGCGTCGTTCAGATTTCAACACAGCGAAGGACTTCATCACAGAGTACCAAAAACATTACCACGTCCTCTCGCGCTTCAAGATACAACCTCGCCCCTTCCACGCACTTTCCCAAGTTCTACGACAACTAGAGAAAGAAATCTCGAAAGTCCAATTCATCATTGAAGAGATCAGCAACATTGAACCAAAGAAGATCACTCTTAAGAAAATAGATCAATATTGCAAAAGTCTCCCGGCGGTTTCTGATAGAGAAGGAACAACCAATGCGGCTCAGTCTACCAGAGGACGAGGCGGCAACCGCGGAGCGTCCCGCGGAGAACGAGGGGGCAAGAAAGGAAGCAGATGAGATCACACCGAGTCCTCCTCTACGCAGGAGAACAAGTCCTCGAAGGACAATAACAACATGTCCGACACAAAGAAAAAGAGGACACTTCGGAATCAACCTCCTCTAGGCAAAGACATCCATGAGTGGGCCCAAGAGAAACGCTCCGGAGATCAAAGAGCTGGGGCTGACTACTCGGTTTGCGCGACATGTTTGAGTTCATTTATAGCCAAGCCATCCTATCGCTCGCGTTCCTGACCCTTTTCCCATATGGTAGGGCGGAGATTATATCGTCGAGAATCCGTACTGTCAAATTCAAAGAGTGGGCGCAGCACCTGATGCGCCATGAGTCGGGCCGTTTCGCTCGGCACCCTCGCTTTCGCTTTGTGATCTTTAATATGATTGCTCCCCATTTCAGTCAATTCGACGAATATCTATGCGCAACGAAAAATGTTTTTCTTACCTTCGATTTCTTTCTTGTCATGGACAGGGGAACATGACACTTCTTTCAATGATCTGGAGTATCTCTTACCATGTATGTAGCTACACAAGAAGGCTGTGGCTGAACTTACCATACATAAGGCCTACGCTTGCTGAACTCGAGCCTGGAGAGATTCCAACCCAATTTCCACCCTCTTCCACCAAAGCCCCACAGCCAGACATGGCCAGAATCATCGCGTCCGATCATCAAACCCCTCACCTGATACTGGCCTAGGAGAAGCGGATATACTGATGAGTATATGTCAGAGCGCCCCCCGGTCTCTCCAAAAGCCCCTCGAGAGGAGGCAGAGGTCCTGGCCTCTGATGAATCCACAAGGTTGTTTGTGACGGACGAAACGACGCAACATAGTACCCAGGTAAGTTCTATATCTTCGAATCAAGAAAGTACCCACGGGTGGTCGCTTATACAAATTACAGTCCAAGGAAATGTCTCGGGGATATGCCTCCCTGGTCATCCGACTAGCCATAACTTCCATGCTACCGAAGAGAACAAACAGCCAATGTCAATCAGTCCCTTGGCGCTCATACATGCAGTTACTGGAAGGCCGTGCATCGATACTATTGTGACATGGAGAAGGCCCCTCAAAAAGAACTTTCAAATGTTGGAGATTGAAATGACACAACAGAAGAGAAAGAGATCGCCAAAGTAATCAGCAGAGATTTGGTGCTTTGAAAAAGTCCACTGGCTAACTATTCATGCAGAATGGAACATAGCTGAGTCAAAGCATACTACAGGCTACTGGCGGTGGTGATGGAGGTTCAATCACCACTAAAAATTCCCATTCTAAGATCGAAAGACGTGAAAATACCCAGCAAAAGAGACACAACTATGAAGGATGATATCGAGAAGCAGGAAAAGTACATCGGCGGCGCCAGAAACCTTAAGGCACAGTTCTATGACGGGGAGTTCTCACCAGATGAAGCCTCGACATCTCTCGGGACTCATATTAATGAAGCCTGCGAGTAGCCCACCTGGAAGAGGCCTCAAATGGCCAACAGTAGTCGTGGATTCTGCGTGGTCTGGGTCATTGACCAATTGAAGGAAGATTCCCTATTTGGCTGAATGAATCAGACCAGGAGGTCAAAATCGCATTGACAATATCACGAATATCATATTCGGAGGGGTGTTCTTAAGAGACGGGGTCCAAATTTACGATAACCAGGAGGCCATAAGGCCATTCTAGGATAGACTTATGGCAGATAACAAACTTCATGTCGAGCAAATTCCAGGTCGGTGTTCACTTTGATGATGCACAGAGCTAGCTAATTTGGATATTGGCTTACAGCTGGCTGATGCACCTGGTCGCACTTGCCATTGCAAGTAAACCCAGGGAAAGAAAACTGGGAGCACCAATGTGGATTCTTCTTCCTTTTGATCTCCGTCAGGATCTACTTATAATTTCCAACACCATGATTTTTAAATTCTATAATTCTTCGCACCCGGACAAGTTCGATCTCGATTGTGGCGGAAGAAGGTGCAAGGTTGTGTTCTTGGCTTAGTTTGGGGATTGCTCCTGTTCCACTTGCTAGCTATTACATTCGCTAGTGGATTGATCACTCAGATTGGCCACCCAGATTGGCCAAATCTCAAGATTTGTCTGCTGGATCAGCATCGGGTTGAGGAGAGGGGGTTGCGAAGAGCACGGATGGAGGACCCTGGACAATGTCGTTACTCTCGATGACTTTGGGGACAACAACCTAGCTGAAGAGAAGGCCAACAGTGTCCAGCAAATGATCGGCACTCTGGGTGTATACAGATTGTTCCGTTCAATGAATACAATCTAATTCAAGGTCCCATTGACGGTCATGACTTGCAGGAGCTCAATAGAGCTTCATATAGTAGATAGACGTGATGTGCACCGTATCGCGTAGCATGGTGATACTCTATTCTCGACGGAAAAGGCCCGGGAACTCGCCCGTTCGACGAATGAAGAGCAAATCGAATTAGACAAGGCCAAGACGTCTCAGCGCAGTTGGGTTGGACATCTGTAAATATTTGTCGGTCCAACCTTGGAAGAATGATGGTGATAAGAACTATAGTGGCACTAAGTGCAGTGGAATGACTACATGTAGACTGTAGATTACGTCCGCTCACTTGTGAGAACTACCGTAACAATATTCCATGGTGAAACTATCTGCTTATATCAACTACTTCATGTAGAAAATGCACCAACATCGAGCTAAATGAGCCAAGGCAGAACGATCTCTAGCATATCTGATATGTGATAGCATCCAGATGTCGAGGTCCTCCTTCTCTTTTAAAAGTGGCTCCATTTTGTATAGTACGAAGCTTCCCGCCGTAGGCAGTCCCTCTGATGGAGCTTGCATACACAGCTATTCTTGGATATAGTCGAAGAGTCGAGTATTGAAACGGCAAACGGCTCAAATGGTAAGAAGAAGGATGGGCCTCACAACCTCCATTCCCACCAGCAGCGACGAGCTCGTAGCGGAACCTAGCCTTGTTAGTTACTCGATACCTTCAAAGTAAGATATTGGGCAAAGTTTTTGAATTGCATAAAACTTACCACTTGGCTCGAACGTTGTCGTTTTAGGATGCAGAGAAGAAGGGACAGCAGAGTGAGACATGAAGTGCGGAATGAAGTGAGAGAGAGGTGAATTCGAAAGTCGAGTTAATCAGGTTCTGGGCTGTGGACCAGACCAACTCGGAAGTCATCACAAAAGGCCCAAGATTCCCCACAATGTCTCCGAGTGACGAGCATGATGCTCATCGACAAAACCCCTCAATTCATGAATGTAATCACTCCTCGATAGAGACTTTGAATCGCGATAAGACAATAGACAGTGGAGGGAAGGTTGATGGGGTGGAAGTGGGAATTGCACGAGGAGCTTCTGTTGACTGTAATAATTGTTTGTGTATCTCCCTGCGATGTTCGGTGTTCTAACTGGAGAGATTCGCAAACTCCCTCTGCCACTGCACGAGGGTCTCAGTTCACGGCTTGCTGTTGTGCGCTCTCCTCGGACATAGCATGATATATTGAGGATTCGCGCTATCTCCCGGAAGACGCCAAACCGAATATCAAACCTGTGCGACGATGTGGGAGCTATCGTGGGAGATTTCAGAAAGACCGGTCTAGTTCTCAGTAGTTAGTGGCCATATTATAATTGATACCTCAAAATAGGCATCAGAGCCTGACTGGTCCCACTTACTCTTCTGCAGGTAGGCTTTTATCATTTAAGCACGATCTGCCCCCCCCCCCCCCTGCATAGATACCCATCTGTTATGGCTGTGAGATGGGCGCCATGAAACTTAGCATTGAGTTGTAGTCGACTTCCCATCCATTCAGCTCGGTCGATTGGGGGTGGCGGTGATTGTAGTATTCATCCATGCATTACCAACTGAATGCATGACCGGCGAACCAATCCTGGTAGCTAGAGAGATGTAGACGACGCACGAGGTCATTCCAAAGTAGGTCGGCAGCTAAGAGGGCTATGATTGCTGGCCTGCGTTGTTCTTGACATACGCCATGAGGTCGTGGCGGAAGACCCAGGACAATCGAGTCCAGCGGAGATTTAGTGGGTAGTTCTGCGCACTCTCCAGAATCCTCTTCGGCTTTTCCTGATTGTCACTTGCCCTTGATGTCTTCAAAATCTGAGGGTCACATCATCCATCATGTCATTTCCATAATCCCAAGTCTATAATCCCAACCAGAGCTCATGTCGTGCCTGGTTGAGCCTAGCACATGGATAGTTTTAAGAGAAGACACAACCATCAATGACCAGGTATGTCTCTATAATCCAGACGCACGTGGTCCCAAACTCAGAGGACCAGTCGTTTTTGTATGTCGTATCCTGTGAATTCGACATTGTGCAGGGAATTTCCCTTTCTTGCCACAAAAGACAAGAGTCCAACATGAAGTCCGCCTATTGGAGTTTCTGCGTCTGGAGGTCGGAGGCTTGAGGCGTAGAGCGCTGTATCAACGCCTTTTGACTGATGCCGAGGCGGAGCAGGTCTGTGGGTCCGCTTGCTAGTTATACATGGGAATGTACTTGAATTTGGCACATCGATGATGTAGGCGAATGGTATATGCCTTTGAATGATGTCGAGAAGGGCAGATGTGTGAATCTGTCTTTCTTTGCTTGGGGTCTTGTCCGCCCAGCAAGGTCCAGTCCAGTTGGCGGCCATGGTGCGAGGCGTTCCGTGTGGTCTGCGTCTTCTTTTTACCGTATAGTTATGCCATTTCCGAGCTATATAGACGATCAGCTTTTGTACGATGTTGGCTTCGGCAAGTCCGCGGTAGATTTTGCCAGCTTAGCTCAGCCTACCTGTTATGGTCGCCCCTCCAGTCCGTGCCTCTTGCACTGGACGACAAGAGTTTCTTGGCTCGCATTTGTCCGGCCTGGTACTGGTACGTATGTAGATCTGAGTAGCCACGCTGGCCAGATTGGTTGCTATGTCGGTCTGTGGAAAAGGAAGACAAAGCGAAAGGATAACCCTGAGGCCGAAGGTCGGTATATAGTCGAAAAGCCAAGAAGAAGGACACTAATGCGATCGACGTGCAAGCTGAGGCTGTTGTCGCGCCAAACTTCGTTCTGAACTCATGGAGAGAGGTGGGGGCAGAGGCAGGCTGTTTATATATCTTAATCTCTCAACAATATATAATTATAAAGTCTGTGATGATGCCTGTTAGTCAACTATCGTTGACTTGACTTTTACTTCTGACTCACCTCACACAGCGGTATCGCGGACTATTCGTCGTCAACCAGCGCCGAGGACAACCAGAGACCGTCTGCCAGGTTCATATATAAATCACTATAAACAAACCATGGCTGAAACTTGAGAGGGCTTGATACAGGGAGCTTGAAGGAAGACTGCCTGATGAATCAGTGAGAGGAATCATATAGGTGTGAGAAGAGGATGGTTGTAAAAGAAAGAAGGAGCAAATAGCTATATGGTGATTTATATCTGGGCCAGTAAGCAAACAAATGTTAGACTCATTGCTCATTGCTGTATTATAATGCAAACAAAGGAAATGTTTGAATAGCTATAAGAGCCTCTCTACTAGATACTACGTGATGATTTACAACTACGCAGGGGAAGAGTGTGCACTCAAGAAATCAGAGAACTGTCTCTGTCCTTTCATTACTAGAACTAACTAGCAGCGACTTAGCCGGCTGGATTGTCATAGTAACACAGTCCAAGCTAGCTTTGTCGATCATCATTCCACGTCGCAACGTATTCGTAACTGTGATTCAAAATCAACACGTAAGACCGTAGGTCAAGATATTTGGAAAATCCCAAAGAATTTCAGGCAGAGGAAAGAAGAGAGTGGACGTGAGGCGTACGGGGTCTTCAAGCCCAGCACGTCCATCGGGGTATTGGGGGATGAAATTTTATAGGAGATGGGGAGGGTAAATCGGGGCGACACGCTTATTTGAAGACGTGACCATCGGCCCACTCCTTGACTTGGCCGTCAACAGTGACGGGAACGTCCTGGGACCACATGTCCTCAACGAGCTTGCGGTCAGCCTCGTTGGAGGGGTCGAGCTTGGTGAACTCGTAACCCTCGTAGTCGGGGCCGACAGTGAAAGCGGGCTCCCACTCCTGGCCGCGGGTCATGTAGGCACCGTAGACGACACAGTTGTAGTTCTCGCCGTAAACGGACTGAGCACCGAAGAGGTACTTGCGGGAAGCCTCGAGACGAGTCTGGAAGCCACCGATCAAGTTGTTGGCCATGAAGGTGAGCTTGAGCTCGTTGTTGTAACGGTAGTTGACCTTCCAGAGAGAGTACTCATCGGCGTTGAAGTGCTCCCAGAACCAGGGCATGGCAACGGTGCGGGGGTCCTCGTTGGAGAACTTGCGCTTCCAGTCATCGAGGATAAGAGTGGGCTTGCCAAGAGCCTCAAGGGGGTGCTTAGCCTTGGGCTCAGCGGTGGAGGCCTCGACAGGGGCGGCAGCGGCGGGGGCAGCGGCCTTAGGCTTGGGCTCCTTCTTAGGGGCGACGTACTTGACGACCTCCTCAGCAAACTTGGGGCTGGGGACGACGGCCTTGAAGGCGTCCTGGTTGATAATAGTGTTGTACCACCGGGTGGTGGCGGGGTTGGCCTCGCGCCAGGTCTTGTCCAAGACAGTGGCGAAAGCACGGGTAAGGAGGGAGGCGGCGAAGATATCGGCCAGAGTGATACGCTCACCAACAAGGTAGGTGTTGGCAGTGAGGTGAGTCTCGAAGGCAGAGATGGCCTTCAGGGCAACCTTGGAGGCCTCATCGACAGTCTTCTTGTTGTAACCATCCAGACCCAACAAAGGACGGTACCAGGCACCGAACTTGGGGAGAACCTCGGAGTTGACGAAGGACAACCAGCGGAGGATGGAAGCGTAATCCTGCTTGGTCTTGCCGAGAAGGGTGGTCTTCTCGTTCTGGGAGGTAACTATGAACAGGACGTGTTAGTCAAGTTGCTTTGAAACTCGGTGGATCCAACAATGGAGCAATAGAGGTGACAATGGCACCATATGTCCATTTCAAAAGAGGGTGGGGTGGTCGAGTCCAAATTTTCCCGCAGAGCGGGGTAGCCAATATTTTTTTCAGAGTTGTTTTTTCTCAACAGTTGTTATAACAATAGTTATAATTCAGACAGGGATAACTAATGGTGTCTCATCATAAAGAAGAGAGGCATAAAAATGGACCGAGGGGTGTGTGGTGACGCATGAAAGGGAGGATATTTTCACATACCATAGACGGCAATGGCGATAGCCTCAGACAGAGTGAAGCCATTGGCACCCTCGAAGGCGGGGATCTTGCCAGTGGGGTTGATCTTGAGGTACTCAGCGCTGGTGTTGAATTCAGCGGTAGAGTTAGCCTGGGTGTTAACCAGCTCCAAGTCGAGGTCGTTGTGCTTAGCAGCGACCAGGATGGAGATGGTGCGACCGTTGTCCTAGAAAATATTAGACATTGCATCAAAATAACAAAGACGAAGATAAACATACAGGCAGACCGTAGAGCTTTCCGAATGCCATATTGAATGTAATTTGTGGAATATGAAGGGAAAAGAAAGAAGGAAGAGAAAGGAGAGGGGCGAGTAAGAATTTTGTGCTGGCGGGACGACTTCGGTGCTCGGAGGAACTGATATTGCCGGGGTCACGTCACATGACCCGACAAAAAACATGACAACTCGGAGACTATCAACGGCCTCCATCCAGGACCTCAAATCCGCGTTGCAGCCCCGAATTCCCCGCCAATTCCACCAGCCATGGCGTGGCACAAACCCACCAGCCTCGCACAGGCGATGCAATCACTCCGCCTAACCTCAACCCTCACAAAACCCTCAATCCAAGCCTCCCGAACAACCCTCAACACCCTCCGCACACGCACCTACGCAACAGAAGCCGAATTCGCTCCGGCGGCCGCAGCCCCAGAAATCAACTTCAGATCCTTCACCCAACAGCCCGCCCGCATCATCCCCTCCTCCCCATCCTACTTCTCCGGCAGCCCGCGGTTCATCGACCACGTCCTGCAGCTGGAAGCTCTGCAAGCGAAGTACGCCGCACTCCCAACAGTGCCCACCAGCGAGGCACCCCGCATGGCGTGGTTCAAGCTGGCGCAGTTCCGCGACTACGTGGGCGAGCCCGTGCCCATGAAGAAATACAAGTCTCTCGTCAAGATCCTGCAGCGGCTGAACCGCATCGAGCCCGAGGTGCTGCCTACCGAGGTGCGCGATACTCTGGCTGCGTTCTTGCGTCCCGGTAACCCGTATGCGGTGGAGATTGTCCCGCGCACGGTGGATGAGAACGGACGCGCTCGCGGCAAGGGAAAGAGGAAGGAGTCTACGGCTGTTGTGCAGCTTGTTGAGGGTGAGGGCGAGGTGCTGGTTAACGGGAAGAGCTTGGTGGAGGCGTTCAAGCGGGTTCATGATCGTGAGAGTGCGCTTTGGGCGCTGAGGTGTACACAGCGCTTGGATAAGTATAATGCTTGGATTCGGGTGAAGGGTGGTGGTGTTACTGGTCAGGCTGAGGCGATTACGTTGGCTCTTGGTAGGGCTTTGCTGTTGCACGAGCCTGGGTTGAAGGCGGTTCTGAGGAAGGGTATGTTTTTCCTTCCATTTTCACTCGTTTCATTGATGCAGTTGCTAACTTCAATTCCTTTACAGCCGGTGCAATCACAGTCGACGCCCGTCGTGTCGAGAGGAAGAAGCCCGGTCATGTCAAGGCCCGCAAGATGCCTACCTGGGTCAAGCGTTAAAGTGGCCAGCGAATCTGGCCAGCGAATCCTATTTCCTTTTTGTTTCAATACTGTATTATTCACCACGGCACCCCGAGTTCGCGACTTGTTTTATATCCTGTACTCTCAATGCATATGGGGCAACAATTCTAAGGTTTCATTGAATTTGAATTGATCAGCGTGTTGTATATCCACTTATACCTAGTCCACAGTTCTACTACTATCTCTAAATAGGTGTTAATAAGTATGGACTGTGAGTAGTAAAGTCCCTCTTATACACCTTATCTTCTTGCCGCTTCTTCGCATGCTGGCAAAGGCCACGAAAGAGATATTAAAATAGATGCCGATAAGGCCAGACGCCATCTTCAGTTATGGACATTATGACCGACCATTCCGCACTAACTAACTAGGGCATGCATTGAGCCTAACAAGCACTACCGATTTTACCTAATGTGGCTTAAACATCGAAACCCTGCACTGGAAAATCGTTCGTCATTCATATCAAGTAGATCGACTCTGTCTGAGATCTAATCCTTACAAGGGTATACTAACTAGCGAACGAATACAAATTCAAAAGCACAAAGCCAAGACGAGCCTTTTACACCACATACCGGAGCAATAAGCAGCATGAACTACTGGAAAATGAAATTAAATGACCCCAAGCCCCAAATCCAAGCCCAAGCCCAAGCCCATTTCCAAAACGGGAACACAAAGGTCCTATTCCATTTTTTGCGCCAGATGCCCTTGTCCTTTTTTGACACGCCCCAATGCAAAGCCAGTCCGATACATAGAACAGAGATGGGATAGGAAATTATAACCGAAGCCAATGGAAACCACCCACAGAAGATCATGAGACTATGTACAACTCGTCAAATTCGTCATTATGGTATATAAGCGGGGAAATGGAAGACCGTGATGATTGTGATAGTAGCCGTGGTTGGAGAATGATGAGGTGATAGTGGCCATGGTGATGGCGAATGATGAGAAGGCGACAGTGATATTTCGCGCCACCTCGTCAGCCCGAGTTGAATAGACGATAGGTATAATTTGAAAAGATCAAGCGCTGACAGCCAAGATAGAGCCGGCGAATGATCGCCCCTCTCGGAAGACCGATGACCAAAGACGGAAGGAGGGGGCCGGTCGATCTCTCATCGGAACGAATGCGAGAGTGATTTGGTGCCCAACACGAGGAGAGAGGTGATAGATTACCTCTTCGTTGTCAAATATCAACATCGGGGTTGGCGCGACGCTAGTAGGCAATAGCCTCCCCGTGGCGGCAGCGCTTGGGTGATGGGTCAATGCGTCCGATCGTCACGGTGCAGCCGTGTCTTTCTCTTTTGGGAAACCCAATTTGATGTGACGTTGGTTATTTGGTTTTTGGCGATTTTCTTTTTTTCGCTTTTCTGCTCGCCTTTTTCCGAGGACTTGGTTCATGGTCGAGGCACTGTCGTGGCTTCGGGTCTGACAGGGATGTGGTGGAGGTCGGGTCTATTGTCCATGAGATCAAGGCATTGGCCCAAGACTGGTTTTGGGATGATTAGGATGTAATAGAGGTGCATCGGAGTATAGCGCAAACTCACCGGACAGGATCTCTTCTTCCCATATACCCATTTGGTAATCTACTAATCCGTGAGGCTCAAGTTGATCGCAGAGCTGAATTAGGTCCCTTCCCATAGCCTCCATTCGGTCTCGTCGGATTAGACTCGTATGTGCAGGTTGTTGACCTGTCGCAATCACCTCCAGCATCAAATCCTTTTGCTTTTGACAGATGGCTAGCCAACATAGATTGAATTCGCTCCAGAGTTTCAGACGGTCGGAGTAATGGATGCTGTCGTCATGGAGGAGGCCTACGTATCAAACAAGAAGGATTAGCCTCTCACTGTAGACCATCGAGGTATCGAATGATGCTTGCATGACACGCCTGTAAGCTTAGAGACAAACATTAGGGGGCAAAAAGAACAACAAAAAGAAGGGTCCAGTTGGGAGTGCGACTTCCGTGCTACTAGGCGAGGGCATTTATAGTAACCCCGGGAAGTTATTCCTCTGTCTTCTCCGAAGGGGCAAAAAAAACACAATAAGAAATAATGATAGTGAAAAACTGCATCTTACCAAGTTCCCGTGCATTGGTCACCAGCCACTCGGATATTTCAAGCAGCGATCCTCCAGCCTCTACCAATCTTCCGGCTCGCGTTTGATCGAAAGTGTGGCACAGGATGCGTTGATATCGTCCGATAGCCTCATCCAGGCTAGGCTGATCCGACGGCTGTTGGGACTCTGGTTGGGGCTGATCCACTCTGTTCATGGACCCGGAACCGATTGCAGTGAAATCAGAGATGGGTGCAGAAAAGGTCTGGGTGGTGTTCGGGCGTGCCATGGGGCCCGGTTGGTTATAAGGCTGGAGTTGCGCATTTAGATAAGGAGAAAGTCCCGCGACCCCAGACCCTGCAGAGTCTTCTGGTGCAAAATACTGTGGAACGGCAAATTGGTTCGACAGGACATCAATGGCTGCAGACTGCCGTGTCTGGTACTGTGGCACAACCTCGAAGTGTCCTTGAGTTGGACCTTGCTGACCGAACCCGTACAGCATGTTAGAGTCGTAAGGTGGGAATGCAGCGGGGTCCTGCGGCGGCGCGCGCCGTCGCGGCGCTTGTTGAGGTCGTTGAGCTCGTACATAGTCCTGGGGCTGATAGTTCTGCAAGTCGTTTGACTGCAGGGAACCGCCGTGGAAGGAGCTGCCTGTGTATCCGTAGTCGTAGGACATCGGGACTTGCTCCGGGGGTTGCGACATCCCCGTTTGGTTTCCACGTGGTATGGCTGGGTCAAACCCATCTGCTGCACGACCAGGTGGTCTGCGAGCATTTCCAGACCGAGACATTGACCTTTCATTCTGCTTCATACGTCGATCGCCATCCATGAGGCTGTCCCAGGATCGGTGCAGATCAAGCTCAGCCCAATGCTTGGGGGACAGCGGTGGGCTTGCGTAGTATGCCAGCTTGGATGATTTTTGAGGGGGATTCCAGGGATCTTTTTCCACTGAAGGCTTTTCCCCTAGTTGGGGGTGGGGGAGAGAGAGATAGGAGGGAAAAGAAGGATGAGACGTAATCCTTGCGGTTCAAGTAGACATTCAAATCTTGTCCTCTGACGCAGCCGCGACACAGATTTAAGTAACAGAGAAAACAAAATAACACAATAATTGAAATGGAAAATAAATTCGGCCAAAAAAGTAGAAGGAGAACAAGGGGGAAAAAGCAGAATTAAAATGCAATTAGGCAGGAAATTAGGGCAGAGTCAGGTAGATGGAGATATTAAGAAAGAAGAGTGATGGATCTGAAAAGAACAAGATGGTGAGCTGATCAAGGACTTGAGTAGTAAGATAGATAGATCGAGTATATGTATAGTCCAGTCCTTGAATGGGTCTAATATAGTATAAGAAGGGTATAAGGGTAGGTATAAGAGTGGATAGTATAAGTAAAAAAAGGGAAACCAAGGGGGAAACAGAAGAAACTAGGGCTTTTCCCGGGAATAGAGGCAAAATATACCCCAAATAGCAAGTAGCAAATATCCCAATCTCAAAATATAAAACATTAAGCCCTAAAGCCATATAATATGATCGACGATCGAGGATCTACATCTAAACTCCATTTGGCTCGGGAACCCGGCGCAATGGTTCTTGGCCTCGAGGGATTTGGGGATTTGCGGTTTTCGACATTTATTGCATTTCTTAGCTTGTTTTCTTTTTGATTTTTGATTTTGATTTATCTACGAGTTCAGCTCTCGATGTCAGGTGGTATACTTTCCTTTCTTTTTTCCTCTCTGTTCTTCAATTTATAGTGTGTAACACCGTCTATGTTGCCTGGGGCTGATCATGAAGGAGAGTAAACATGAGACAAAATATCCTCCCCTTGCGTAGAATGTAGAAAGGGTAAGAGATTAGAAAAAGCAAAAGTCCCAAAAGTATAACTAAACGCAGCTAAACGCAACTAAACAAAATAGTTGGAAAAAAAGGGGATGCTATTTACATTCCGGGGAGATTAGCCGGGCAGCTGCTGGAACCTCGCGGAGATGCATGATATTTGAGGCTGATATGATAGCATAATAATTAATAATAGTAGAAGAGAGAAGACCCGTCATCTGATTATTCATATCTTATACATACATGAAACTACCCCGTGCTTAATAGACCAATATCAATCAATTCAAATACTTGTGGAGCATTGTTCGCCCGATTGGATCTGCAAAGCCCTGACGGCCACCTACATACGTCAGTTTCCTTTTCCTCGGGTTTCTGATTGCTCAGGTCTCACGGGAGAAAGCAATTATTAGGACTATGAAGTACTGGACAAAGGTATTTGTTTACTGTTTACTCCGTCCGTACTATTTACCCTAAAGGGCCAAATGCCCTAATTGTCCCTGTCATCTTCCACCCTAAACTGGATCCGACACTTTGGTTGCGATGGCTATTATTGCGGATGCGACATCGAAGATCCGCTGGTTTTTGTGAAGTAAACATGTTTATACTTCTCCCCCGGAGATGATCTGCCTACACATTAACCTTAGCTATTAATATTTAACCTATTAAGTACATTCCTAGGTACTTGGAATACTCCGAACTTTATATACTATACAGTACATACTTAATACTGCCGTATCGACAGATCGGATCCTCTAACTGAACGAAACAGGATAGGATCATGCAATATGCGGAAGTATACATGAATAAAATAATTAATTAATTAATTCCTCTTCAAGAAAAAAAGAAAGGAGAAACTATTGAAAAATAAATTCAACCGTTGGACAGATAGATACTCGCGTGTATTCGGACTTTGAATCGCAATGCTTCTTGATATATCTCCCGCAACCAGGTGCCCGACACGTTGTATAAACCACTTGGTAGCACAAAACACGAGGCCGGAACTGGTATTATGGGCTTGGATATTTGCAATGGGGCCTAAAAAATGGAGCAATAATACATTGTTATTGTTGAAACAATGCCCTTTTGGCTACTATATACTGTTATCGAACTAGGTATGGAGCCATGACCCTGTTTCAGGTCTAGCTATCTTCAAACATGTCAGACGAAACATGCTGATATCTAATCTTAGAATCTCAAAAAGAAAAGCATGGACCGAAATCTTCTTCACACTCTTAATCCCATGACCAACAGACTCAGACACAACTCTGGAGCCCAAGGGTCCCATCTGAAACACGACAAACAGACTATTACTACCTACATCGGATGTTTTATGTAGATAGTAAGTAGACCGAAAGTAACATGACACCCTCTTTTCCCTTCCCTTCCTCTCCTATACTCGTAAATAAGGAAATTTTGTTAAAAAATAGGACCACCATTCCCTCGAAACAACAGTGCCTCGCCTTGTGCGACGTCCATCTCGGACTGCAGACCCAACGAATCCAGTGCCTCGGAATTCCGAAATTACCGTCTCACCACGCTTATCCAGTCCGGTCCCCCAATCTGGAGTACGCACGTCGCCGAGACGGGAGGGTGAGTGTGTAGATAAGTGTGGAATGGAGGTACAATTAACATCGAAGGTTATACTACATAGCAAAGTCCATTTCACAAATTAAGCATTTTCCCGCTTTTTTCGTCTACCTAAAAACCTAAGGAGAAGATATCTAAAAAAAAAGACCTGAACAGACTCATCGAGCCAACTAGATCATGTCATTCTCATCTCAATGACAAAGGCCGACTCTTGTGGATATTTACGGAGAACAGCCACAGATGTATATACTAGCGAAAGTATATACAATCTGCGTAGATGATAGACGGCGATGTACACACACATACCCAATGATACCTCTGTTTAACCTTTTACCTTCCACGCTTTCCTCCCATACATACTGGCGTGGACAAATGTACAGACTACAGATGTATGCAGACAGGGATGGAACGGGAGCCAGGGTTCGGGAGAACGGCAAGAACAACTTAGAACAGCAGAATGGGAGCGGGGGTTGTGCTGCCAAGGTTAAGGCAATAATAAGATGCAATATGCACCACCTCCACCCGCAATGTGCTGTGCAAACCGACAAGGATCTGTGACTGTGGCTGCTCCCGTACCCGACTCGTTGGTTGGGAGTCATCCGGTCCACGAGACTGCAGTCCAGAGGGAAAGGGATGTTCGAGGGAGGGGAACTGGTGTTTGCCGAGGTTAGTTTGTTGCGCGGAAACTCAGGGTTGGTCCGGATGGGAACGGGGGTTGTTGCTCATGCGGCTGAAACGTCAAAGCTTTGTTTTGGGTCTTTGTTGTTAGAGTTGTGGTTGAGTGAAGCGTGTGCTGGCCAGACAGGCCGATGCTGACGTGAGGTGAGGACCGGGGTGTGTGGGTGATTTGTCGGAGGTAAAGTTGTTGAGTTGTGGAAGGGGTGATACTGTACTTCTATCATACTTGGGTTTGTCATGCATATACCTTCCAGGGTGGAATTATGCCCTGCCATGACACTGGGTGCCTGAGCTGATGGAAATTGACACCCGGAATAAAGAAAGCCGGGAGAAGAGGTCACGGGGAAGATAATTTCCATATGTCCTTCCCATATTGGGAGAAATAAACTACACGCATCGCTGATCATTGAGTCATGTCATGTCGAGACCAAGAAAGAGAAAACCGAGCACCAAGAAGAAACACCATATTGCCACTCAACCAGCGAGAAAGGCAATCATATTTGATCTGGGCCAAAGTTAGCACGAAGACCTCCAATAAGACAAACCGGATCAAAACATACTCAGTGTCATACTGATGCTCACGTCTGTGTTCTCCACCATATCCGTGAACTCCTCGAAGCTAATCTTTCCATCCTGATCCTTATCAGCCTCCATGATCGTCTTGTCGACGATCTGCTGCAGCTGCACGTCCTTGAGGTTATTGCCGACCATCATCTTCAGCACAATGAAGAGCTCGCCGTTGGAAATGTAACCGTCACGGTCAATGTCGTACACCTTGAATGCGAATCGCAGTTTCTCTTGCTTGTTACCCTTTGAGCTGAATGCCGACAGGCCCGTCACGAATTCCTGGAAGTCGACGTCACCGCCACCGTCTTCGTCGAAGATGGCGATCATCCTATTATGAAACAGTTGTGTCAGGGACTAGTCCGTGTATATATGTAGATCGCAGATCGTAGGTGGGAGGAGTTGGAGTTTGGATGTGGATGCCCAGGGGAGCAACGAACCTCGTGGCGAGTGGGTTGGACGACACTTGGGGTAGGGAGAGGAACTCATCACGGTCGATAGTACCGTTGGCATTCTATAGATTGTTTAGTATGCTGGAGCATATTCTCATAATCCGCGCGATCCAACCGACCTTATCCAGCTTCATGAAGCGCTTGCGCAGGCGATCCACCTCATCCCGGTTGACTGTGGTCGCGAAGTCAGCCACAAGCCCGATCCATCGCCTTCATACCTTATCCGACCGGATAAAACATACAGTTGGATGTAGACACAATGTTATCGAAGAGCTGGGTGGTACCCACGGAGCCGCGGCGTCTCCGCGCATCGTAAATCGCAGCAGCGTTGGGCTCGTTGGTGGAGGGCTCCATGTTGGGTGGTTGGATAGGGAAAGGAGGTGTAAGAGAGCGAGGTACGGTGGCGAGTTATGCGATAAATGTAGCAAATAAAGTTGTAGGAATAGTGGAACAGCAAGTAAAGAAGAGCCAGATTAAGCAAGACAGGAAAAGAGGAGGCGAAGGGTTGTTATTGCCAACGGCCCGGGGAATCTGATATCGCCCAGCCCCGCACTAACCGGAAGCGGACAGGCAAGCGAGCCCCTGAGGCCGTGCACTCGGCCAAAACAGGCCACTGCCGGCTGACATTACAACGTCAACCCAACCGCTAGCCGTGAATCACCTCATCTTCAGTCGTCAATATCTCCCCCCCCTCCATCAAATCCCATCTCAAAAATACGT